GCCAGCGCTTGGGGCATTTGGTGTTGCGTCTTGCGTTCCGGAAGCACTCCCTCGGGAAACGATATGCGAGGGTCGTCTTGCTATGTTGCTGCTGTTGCAGAAAGACCCTGACGAGGTTCCCCCTGAGTGCGAATTCCTTTTGTTCACGCCGGCGCGCCGCTGACACCTTGCATTTTGCTCTATCCTCAAAGTAGTTTTAAGGAAGATTCGTATTTTTCTCTCCAGCCTTCGTTTTTTCGTTCTCTCTCTCTCTCTCTCTTCTCTCTCTCTCTCTCTCTCTCTTCTCTCTCTCTCTCTCTCTCTCTCTCTCTCTCTCTCTCTCTCTCTCTCTCTACTCTCTCTCTCTCTCTCTCCTCTCTCTCCTCTCTCTCCTCTCTCTCCTCTCTCTCCTCTCTCTCCTCTCCTCCTCGTTCTCTCCCTCCCTCTCCCCTTCTCTCCCTCTCTCCATCTTTCCCTCCCCCTCTCTTCTTCTTTCCCTCCCTTCATTCTTCCCTCCCCTTCACCTCCCCCCTCGCCCTCACACCCAAGCTTCGTTGGCCCGCTGAGATCTTTCTTCAGTTGACGACGAGAAAGAGAAGAAATGAATTATATTGAAGTTCTCGTCCGGTTAAATGCACTTTTCATTAGTTTAGTTATCTGGCTACGTTTAATCGTTACTCCTTTTCGCGCTACCATCCAGGCACATTTTTTTCCAGCCCCGCTCTACCCAACGTTCTTCGGTTCTCAAGCTGCATGTGAACTACGTCAAGTTACCCAATGAAGTAGCAATTTTGTCAGTTATATGAAAAGTTGAAAAGTTTACCATGGGAATTCATATTCCGAGGCTACTACTTGTTCGGGAGGCTAGTAGCAGTTAAGAGAAATCTCGAGCTGTTTTCAGAGGTGTTGAAGGAAAGCTCCTCCCCCCCCCCCCCCTTTTCTCTCTTCTTGAGCCTGATTTCAGCGTGCAACGTTTATCGCTGAGAACATGATATGCTTATACATGAACACGAAGGCTTGCTTAAAGGGGAAACGTTTGAGTTGAATAAGTTAGGTTCTCTTTTTTTAGGTTTGTGTTTTCCTCCTCCCGCCTTCTCCACTTGTCAATTTCTCTTCCGTTAGACTTGCATTGTATTTTGTTATTACTGAAATACTTATTGAGCAGTCTTTTTTAACAAAGATGTCGTTGTTCTTTCCAGTGACGAAGTTTATCCGTATTGGAATCGCCGACAAGAACGACAACCCACCGTTCTTCGACAAGACGCTGTACGAGGCTGAAGTGGACGAAAACGAGGACATTCAGCACACCGTCCTCACCGTCACCGCCAAGGATCTCGACGAATGTAAGTCATTGCTTCCCTTTCTTAATCTCGCTTATGTAAATACCGACGTTCAGTCGACCTCTCTCTCTCTTCTCTCTCTCCTCTCTCTCTCTCTCTCTCTCTCTCTCTCTCTCTCTCTCTCTCTCTCTCTCTCTCTCTCTCTCTCTCTCTCTCTCTCTCTCTCTCTCTCTCTCTCTCTCTCTCTCTCCTCTCCTCTCTCTCTCTCTCTCTCTTCTCTTCTCTCTCTCTCTCTCTCTCTCTCTCTCTCTCTCTCTCTCTCTCTCTCTCTCTCTCTCTCTCTCTCTCTCTTTATATATATATATATTATATATATATATATATATATATATATATATATATATATCACAACACACACACACACACACACACACCACACACACACACACACACACCACACACACAACACACACACACACACACACACACACACACACACACACACACACACACACACACACACCACACACACACACACACACACACACACACACACACACACACAACACACACACACACACACACACACACACACACACACACACACGTTTTACAATCCTCTATCATTATATTTCTGAAATGAAAGATATGCTAGGAAAAGTCATTAGAGAAGCAAAGCAAAAATATCATCTGTATTAATGTATAAATTGTTTGGAGTGTTCTTTCCAAGATGTTGTGTTTAAAGATTCCTCCAGGATGGCTGAACTTGTATCTCTTGTAGTATGTTTTTTAGGACTCTTTACTCTCACTGCGCAAAAAAAAAGATGATGAAATTAAAAGGAAACATAGCGTCATTGCCTTTCTAGTGTCACTTTCCATGACGGTAATTACTAACATTTGCAACTTTAATGGAGAGCGTGACAGTCTTCCCAGCTTTTATGCCACAGTGTGTCCAAAAGCACCACTTGTTTGCCTTAAACTTAAGAGTCAGTAAAAGTTAAACCAGTCTCTCTCTTTTTGCCAAATAATCATTTTCTCTTGCTGTGAAGTCCCAAGAAGTAATTTCTGTTTATATGTGAAAGAGAATTTGTACAGCAATTTTTTTTTGCATTGTCAGAAAGGAATGGGAAAATATTGAAATGAGCAGATATTGATATTGCAAACTTGAAAAAAAATCATGCAGTAAAACAAAATGTGAAAGTTTTTGTAGGGCAATGGGAGAATTACGTAAATATCAAGCTTGTATTGGGATGTGTTGCACCATGCAATTACCAGTCTATTTAGGGTAATTATGAGTATAACTATGAGGATTAGTGATAATTTTTATGTGCTGTATTCATCTGTGTGACTTGGAAAGGAAGGAGAGAGGTTATTTAAAGTTAAATAGATTTCTACTGTCCATTGTAATGTAATAATTCCAAATTATATAATTGTATGGAGTCTCATCAGAAGTCACAATAGTCTACCAAATTTAGTTGAAGTAGGTGAAGATGAGAGAGCAATCATTTAGGCTGTGAGAAAAGATGGAACCAGTGTAAACAGTAACTTGCCACCTGCAAAGAGGGAATGCCAGATAGTGATGGTATTTGAGGGCTTGCCTGGGAACTAAAGCAGGGAGATGATAAAGGAGCCTATGCCACACTAAAGCATTTGTGACTTTTCCATACTTATTTTTCATTCAGATGGTTCATTGCTTTTGATCTGCGACAAGGAAAGTGTAACTAGAGTTCTTCCAAAAGTTAAAACTTCTATAAATTTGTTATATTGTATTGATTCAGCCCAAGATGAAAAAATAATTGCCATTTTCTTCTTTTCCCACAGCCTCACGTATAAGATATGAAATCACCAATGGTAATATCGGAGGAGCTTTTGCCGTGAAGAACATGACTGGTGCCATATATGTGGCAGGACCTCTGGATTATGAAACAAGAAAGCGGGTGAGTTATCCTTCTGAGTATTTTCAAACAGATTATGAATATGTTGATGATGTTCAGTTGTAATACATCACTATATTTTAACATTTTACAATTTGTATTTTCAAAGACTTATCCATATCTAGCTAAATCAGTCATGTTCTTGAAGTTGACTGAATAGATCAGAAAAATAAGGTGCTAGTTTCAGATGAGACATTCTTGCTCAGCATTTCTTTTTACTGTGACAAAAAGTATAATCCATGTGTGATATTTAGTTAAGATAGAAGATACTTTTAACCAAGACAATTTGACTTAATATTGCATATTGAAATATGACAAGTTTTGGTAAGATAGGAGTTTTTATAACCAGGTAAATATGACCTGATATGATTTCTATTTTAAATATTCTCTTAAAAAGCTCTTGGCTTTTTTGTATTTAGTTTTTGTATCTAACTTTCTTAACATTGTTTAAAATGACTACAACTTGTTAGCTACTAATTTTTAGACTGATAACAAAGTTGCTATGTATAAGACATTGTTGGAATTGTAACAAAATGAATAGTTAATGAATTAATCTTAATAATTAACTAAGTAATAGTTTGTTTACAGTAATCATCAAAAGTATTTATGATTGATGCTCTGTGACTTGTGGTTTATAAGTACTTAAGCAGCAGCTTAATAGTTTGTCTTTAAATTATGATCTATGCATCTGATCATTAAAAGAATACAACTGTGCAGACTATATCATATGACATTATATCTGATTTTCCAATATTATGTGCCCCAGCAATTATACTCGTTGATTTTTAGAGGTAAAGCTATAATTTTCAATAATCACCAACCATATTTATCATTGTCATGTCATTTTCTTCAGTAAGACCTCTCTCATGTATATTTTCATGAAAATGTTTTTCTCCCCATCAAAAAAACTCTTTATCTGTCAAATTACACATATTCCTCTCTCCTTTACTTCATGTCATGACTTTCTTGCTCTACTGATACTTTTAACCAAATCTTGTGTTAGTTTGATGCGTTCAGGTATACAGCTACTATACATATTTCATTGGTATGATCATTAGGTTACACATAATCTCACCAACCCTTCTATTTGCCCAGTATGAGCTCAAACTGGTGGCTTCAGACAATCGTAATGAGAACCACACCACAGTTGTCATTCACGTCAAAGATGTGAATGACAATCCACCCATGTTTGACCGTCCACTGTATGAGACGCAGATCACCGAGGAAGATGACCGCAGCCTGCCTAAAAATATCCTCACGGTCTCTGTCGCTCTCAAATCTCTATTTAGCTTGTTATTTTGCACCATCCACTTATCTGTGACCTGACTGCATTAGTTTACTAGTTTACTAGTTTTTATGTGATTATGAAGTGTTTCAACCAACATCATTATTTCTTTGTTAGTCCTTCCCACACCCAACAACAAATGCGATGCACACGACTGTAACGCAGGTTATGAACCTAAGCTTTTAGTTACCAAATTAAGTACCTTTGCTGTTTACTTACAGCTGCATGTCTCACCTCAGTGTACTGCTGACTTTGATTTTAATTTTCTTTTTCTTATTTTTCTTTCTTTTTTATTAATACCCCTCAGAGTACTACCACATTATTTTACCCCTTTATTCCAGTGCCGTGCATGTGCAGCCGATGTGATAACCCTTTGATTTTACATTTATGTTTCTGTTGTTTCACTGCAGCAAGCATGCTCATGAAGTATCCATGTTTACTGTTTTTGTTTTTGTTTGTTCTCCGGATGCTTGTTTGGTGGTACACAGTACGAACTATCTCTAGTGGCCACCGATAGTGTCAACGAAGCTACCACCAAAGTAATTATCCATATCGCCGACGTCAATGACCGCCCTCCTGAGTTCGACCGATCAAAGTATGAGGCCACAATCGAAGAGGAGAGGAATGATGGTTTGCCAATTCGACTGCTCAAGGTAGACATTTTTGGAAGGACAGACAGGGAGAGGGATAACGAGGAGAGAAGATTATATGAATTTAAAAAATCACATTTATAAATACTTTATGTATTTGCTACGTGTGTTCTGGAGATTGAACTTTGTTTCTTAGTGGAGTTAATAAAAATGTGTTTAATTGTTGCCTGATAAAAATAAGTGTAATTGAAAATTTATGGTGATTTGTAAAGAACCTCGTTATTCCAAAACCTTTATATTTTTATTTATTAATTTTTTCTTATGATGGCATCGAAATGTTACAAAATCCCAGAAGGGGTTTTATCCATTTAATATACCATTATACAATGGTAAGATGCATTGAAGAGAATGTAAATGATTAATTGTGAATGCTAAAGGAATCCTGTGGAGTTGAACATGCCACCAACAAAGTTTGTTACCAAATGAAAGCATATTGGCCTTACAGAATGACTAATGATATTGCATTATTGCTTGACTTTCATCTTGAAATGCAGGTAATGCTTTATAAATATCTATAGAACTTCTTTTTTTCCATTTTTATTTGATGATTGGTTCTTTGTTGGAAATCCCATATTATTATCAAGCTTTAAAAACAAACACTGCACTTGCAACAGATTTTTTTTATTTCCATGACACAACCAAGTCATACACATATTGCAGCCTGTGCCTTCTGTTATAGGGACAAAACAAATTTGTATTCTGCATAAGTGCATGACCTCTTAGGGTTAAGTATCATTTGATTATAGGGCATGTTACTGTAACCTTTTATCTTAAGTAATCTATTTGTTATATTTTTTGTTGCCACATTTATGAGTACAAATTCGGTCATTTGTCATATTAGTTCATCAAAAAAGTTTCTCCAGAAAACATTGCATTCGCTTTTGATATATACAACTTTTTCTCTGTATCTATGTTAAGTTTCTTACTAATCGATATCTTCACTGAACAGGTAACTGCAGCTGATGGTGATCGTGACCGAGTGCAGGACATTGTGTATTTCCTTACTGGTCAGGGCATTTATGTAGACAACCCAGACCAGTCTCAGTTTGAAGTCAATCGTACCTCAGGAGAGATCTTTGTCAAGAAGGTTAGTATTTTCAGTTTGTTAGCTTCATGTGTGAAAGAAATTATTTTGATTGCAGAATTCATTGTAAGTTCAAATATTTTAGTAGTTTCCTAACTTTTGCAGTTTTAGAAGTATATAGAATTGATATGATATTGATACTATTCTTCTCTTCCAGCCTCTTGATCGTGACCATCCTAAAGGCCGGCCTACTTGGAGGTTCACAGTGTTTGCTCAGGATGAAGGTGGTACAGGTCTGGTGGGTTATGCTGATGTCCAGGTCAACCTGAAGGACATCAATGACAATGCTCCAGTGTTTCCACAGGTTTGTAAAGGTTCTGAGAATATGTATATCAGGTGATGACTGTGTTATCCTTAACATATTATTTATTGTAGAGCTTATGAGGTGGTAGATATTTATATATTGCTTTTTCTTCAGATGGTGTATTTTGGCAATGTGACAGAAAATGGTACACAAGGTATGGTTGTTATGACCATGACAGCTGAGGATTATGATGATCCCAATGAAGGTACCAATGCCAAGCTTACGTACTCCATTGAGAAGAATGTCATTGATGAGAACACTGCAATGCCCATTTTCGAAATTGAGCCAGATACTGGAGTGATTAAGACGGCTGTGTGCTGCCTTGACAGAGAAAAGACCCCAGATTATTCCATTCAAGTGGTTGCAGTTGATGGTGGAGGTCTAAAAGGTATGATTATTCCTTTTTTTTTTATACAGTGGTTTAACTAATTGATCATATTACAAATTTTGTGTTTTGCATATACAGCTAAAATTTCCGTTTACTTACAGGAACTGGTACTGCAAGCATAAGAGTCAGAGACATTAACGATATGCCACCCAGGTTCACTAAAGAAGAATGGGTAACAGAAGTAGATGAAACAGAGGGTGCCCTTCTACCTGATCAGGCCATCTTGACAGTAACAGTTCATGACGAGGACGAAACAAATAAGTTCCACTACAAAGTGATTGAGTCATCAGGATTTGGTGCTGATAAGTTCACTATGGTTAGAAACAATGATGGCACAGGTTCTCTGAAGATTGTACAGCCCCTTGACTATGAAGATCCCATGCAGCGCAGTGGGTTCAGATTCAAGATCCAAGTAAATGACAAGGGAGAAGACAACGATGCAGAGAAGTATCATGTAGCATATTCATGGGTTAAAGTGGAATTAAGAGACATCAACGATAACAAACCACAATTTGAGAAACCAAACATTGAGGCACCTGTCTTTGAAAATGCAGAGATTGGGAAGAATCTAAAGACCTTTAAGGCTACAGATCCAGACCAAGGTGGGCAGAGCAAGGTATCCTATGCTATAGATCGAGCATCAGATAGAAGGAGACAGTTTGCCATAGATAGCTCTGGAACTGTCAAAATTCAGAGAATGCTAGACAGGGAAGAGAATCCACGTCATTCTGTTAAGATCCTGGCCATTGATGATGGTACTCCAGCAAAAACAGCTACTGCCACACTTACAGTTATAGTCCAAGATATTAACGACAATGCCCCTAGATTCCTCAAAGACTACCGTCCAGTCTTACCTGAAAATCAGTCTCCAAGGAAAATAGTGGAAGTTTTAGCAACTGATGATGATGACAGATCTAAAGGAAATGGACCTCCTTTCCATTTCCGTATGGATTCCACAGCATCAGATGAAATTCGTGCATCTTTCAAGGTTGAGCATATTCCTAAAGGAGCTAATGGTGATGGCATGGCAGTAATATCCTCATTAAGAACATTTGATCGTGAGGTACAGAAAGAATACCATGTACCTATTGTCATCAAAGATGCTGGTACACCTCAAATGACTGGCACCTCAACATTGACCATCATAATTGGAGATGAAAATGACAACAAAATGCAGCCTGGTGCAAAAGACATTTTTGTCTATAACTACAAGGGACAGGCTCCAGAGACACGCATTGGTCGAGTCTATGTTTATGACCTTGATGATTGGGACTTGCCTGACAAGAAGTTCAAATGGGCAACAGAAGCACATCCCAATTTCAAGCTGAATGAAGGTGATGGTATGATCACAATGAAGCAGCATACTCAGGAAGGAACATACTTCCTCCAGTTCCATGTTTATGATCGAAAACACACGCAGACAGATGTTGAGGCCAATGTAACTGTAACAGTTAAGGAAATTCCTGAAATAGCAGTCATCAATTCTGGGTCTATCCGTATTGCCAATATGACAGATGAGGACTTCATCAGGATATGGGATTACAGGAGTCAGCGTGTGGTGCGTAGTAAAGCAGACATGTTCCGAGAGAAAATAGCGAGACTTGTCGGTACAAACATTGAAAATGTTGATGTATTTAGTATACAGCTGAGACAAGAAAGACCACCAATCACAGACATCCGCTTCTCAGCTCATGGATCGCCTTACTACCATCCAATTAAATTAAATGGTCTTGTCCTGCAACACAGAGCAGAGATAGAAAGTGAGATTGGTATCAATATCACTATGGTTGGTATTGATGAATGTCTCTACGAAAATGTTGCTTGTGAAGGATCTTGTACAAACCACCTAGTTATATCAAATTTGCCATATATGGTGAATGCAAACAAAACATCGCTAGTAGGTGTAAGAACAGAAGTGATACCTGAATGCACTTGTGGAGCTCGTAACTTCTCTGCAGAAGAATCCTGCCGTCCAAACCCTTGTTATAACGGTGGCCGATGTATCGAAGGGAAATCAGGAATTCGTTGCAGATGTCAAGAGGGGTACGATGGTCCCCGTTGCCAGATGCTGAGACGTACATTCCGAGGTAATGGCTTTGCCTGGTTCCCAGCCCTAGCCATGTGCGATAACTCTCACATCAGCCTGGAATTCCTTACAAGACGAGCAGATGGTCTTCTCTTCTATAATGGACCCATCACACCTCCAGAAACAGATGAAACTATTGTGTCTGACTTCATTGCTCTTGAACTAGAAAATGGTCGACCAAGATTGTTGATAGATTTTGGTTCTGGTACCTTGCAGCTCAAAGTCAACACCAAAAACCAGCTTAATGATGGAAGCTGGCACAAAATTGACATATTCTGGGACACAGAGGTAAGTTCACATTTGTATTTTTGCTTTCACAATAGTCGAGCTTCCGTCAGTATTTTCTCCTGATATTTTTTTTTTCATATTTCTTATCTTCCTTTTCCAAACAAAACCAAATCTTTTAAATTGCAGACTGTGAGAATGGATGTAGATCATTGTGTAGCAGCAGAAGTTCAAGAACCTGAAGATGGCAGTGACCCCATCTTTGACCCCTCAGGCTGTCAGGCCAAGGGAACCATTCCTCCATTCAATGAATACCTGAATGTCAATGCCCCACTTCAGGTTGGTGGCTTGGCACACGAGCAGCCAGATCCCAGCTTGTACAAGTGGCAACATGTACCTCATGGCCGACCCTTCAGTGGCTGCATTAAGAACCTCATGGTCAATAGTGAATTGTATGATCTTGCCCGTCCAGGCCTGTACCGTCATACTCAAATGGGTTGCCCACAGCTGGAGGAGGCTTGTAGAACTAATGCCATTGTGCCAACTTGTGGACCAAATGGTGTGTGCTCAGGGTCACTGTCTCAGCCAGTGTGCAAGTGCAAGCCAGGCTGGACAGGCCCAACATGTGACGAACCCACAAATTCCTCCTACTTTGAGACACAATCCTACGTAAAATATGCACTGTCATTCAAGCCTAACTCCTTCAGCACAGAAATCCAGCTCAGATTCCGTACTTGGCAGGAGTATGGTGAACTGTTCAGAATTTCAGATCAGCATAATAGAGAATACGGCATCTTGGAGATCAAAGATGGAAGGTTACGATTCCGCTACAATCTAAACAGTTTACGGACAGAAGAACATGATCTGTGGCTGTCTGCAGTGGCTGTTAATGATGGCATCTGGCATTCTGTAACAGTGGAGAGACATGGCTCTACTTCAACTCTGAGGATGGATGGTGGTGAAGGCCGACGCTACAATGAAACAATGGCATTCTCAGGCCACATGTTGATGGATGTTGACAAGCAGGAAGGTGTATATGCAGGAGGAAAGGCAGAGTACACAGGCATCAGAACCTTCGAAGTATACAATGATTACAAATTGGGTAAGTTGATATTTTTGTTGTGTATAGAGTTGTGCTATAGTTTGGCTATGAGGCATTTTGTAAAAATTTTCTGGTTTCTTAATAACAATACATTTTCTGATTTCCAGGTTGCTTGGATGACATCAGACTTGAGGGCAAGCATCTTCCCCTTCCTCCAGGCCTCAATGGCACCCAGTGGGGTCAAGCCACAATGTTCCGTAACTTGGTCAAGAACTGCATTTCACAAAACCAGTGTATCAATGTCACTTGTCTAGCACCTTTCACATGCAAGGACTTGTGGATGAAACATGAGTGCGGGTAAGTCTTCTAAAAGTATGATGACTTTCACAACTATTTTTTATAATGATGAATTTGTTCATATTTATCATATACTTGACATATATATCAGTTTCTACAAAAAAGAATGGTATATATTCCTGTGGAAAAATTAAAAGTAAAATGCATAGCCCATTGAAAACTTCTTAGGGAATATGAAAATTGTAATGTACCAGTTGTGGTATTATCCAGTTTGAATCCCAGTTAACTTAAGTAGTCCAGCAAATTAATATGTATTTTGAAACTAATATTGCATAGCCTTGTAATATAGCACATAAAGTAAAACAGGTACCCATATTGGCATAGCATGTCAACTTCTTTGGGATTGTATGTTGAGGTGATGTAAAAGTAAACTAATAGTGCTCTCTCTCTATTTCTGCTGCCCTCATCTTCTTGGGAACTGGTAACATGGATTTATCAACACCGCTTACAAATTTATACTTTATCACTGTGTTGTCCATGAATTGGTTTCTGTACACCTGCATGCATCTTTTTCCTGCTTGGGTGTTCAATGTGGTCAACTTTGTCTTGCCTACAGTTGTGAAGATGGCACTGTACTCTCTAATGACAAGCAAGAATGCGTAGACCAGAATGAGTGTTTGAATGACCCTTGTCAGAATGGAGGAACATGTCATAACCAAGAACCTTCATACATCTGTGACTGCCCTCGAGGGTATTATGGCAAAAACTGTGAACTACTGCAGGAAGGCAGGACAGTTCGCCTGAGTCTCGGCGCTTTAGCTGCCATACTAGTTTGTCTTCTTATTATTTTAGGTGAGAAATTATGGTACTTTCAAAAAGATGAAAGAGCATGTTATAGAATCAATATGAAAATTCCAAAAAAGGGAGATATTAAGACAAGGTGAGATGGGTACAAGGATCATAACAGCTGTTAGTTAAATCAATAACAATCAGGTAAGACAGAGTGACTGTTGGTATGTTGAGTATGTGTGAGAGGATCAGTGTGCTTCAAATTTTCACATTAAAACTATAGTATTCTGTAGTTGCATGATGCATGCTTTTAGTCTTCCACCTCATCCTTCAGGGCTTGGATGCTTCCACTAACCTGGGTTATCAGAGATGACCCTTGATCCCATAATAAGGAGCAACAAACAGCAGGTAAATAGTTTTGTTTGGTCATTCATTCCCCAGCTGCCCAGAGGGATCCATTCATCACCATGGCGACTGCCTCAACATCAACGAATGTGAGCTATGGCAACCTTGCAGTAATGGAGGAGTGTGTCGGGATCTTGAACCTGATGAGGGCGGATATATGTGTGACTGTGTTGATGGTTTCCAAGGATTAGATTGCACACGACCCCTTACGGAGACTGTTCTTAAACCATCCACTGATTTTGTTGTTGCCATTGTCATCTGTATTCTGGTACTGCTAGGTAAGTTACTATTTGTATGGAAATTGTGAACAAAGGATACCAAAAGCAGGTATATTCACCATTTCTTTTTATTAATACAGAAAATTCAGTCTTCATATGTTTAATTCAATCTGAGTTTGAATACATACTGTAAAATGCATCAGTCATGTTGTATATTATAATATTGACAACAAAGAAATGAAATAATAGCAAGTAATCCTGGTGATCACGTATGGCTCTCAAGATAGTCATATACTACACACTACTTGCAGTGCATAAAGCAAGAATAAAAATTTGTTGCATTTCATGACACACCAAACACTTGTAAAATATTCAGTAATATTTTTCAGTATGTTGACAATACATGATTCATAATTGCATGTAGATTATTGATTAAGGTTTAAACATTTTACAAAGGATATCTTTACAGTAGGTACAGATGTGATTGTATATATGTTAAGAGCCATATGTTACTTTGATTTATTTGTATTCAGCATTTGGTAATAGATTAACTTGTCTATCTAAAGGAATATACAGTATTTTTTTATCTTTAAAAATCAAATACTATTTATGAGAACACAAAAAAAGAGATTTCTTTTGATGTGTGTGAAACTTTCTCCCTAGTTTTGGTGCTAGTGTTTGTGGTTTACAACCGGCAAAAGGAGCGTCACTTCCCTAAGGCTGATCCTTATGATGACGTGCGTGAGAACATCATCAATTATGATGATGAAGGAGGCGGAGAGGATGACATGACAGCCTTCGACATCACCCCACTGCAGATCCCAGTAGGGCCAGCCATTGGCAATGGTGGACCTCTTCTGGGCAAAATGCCATGTAAGTACAGGGCGTAGTGTCAGGATGATGTGAAAGGAGGAGGATGAAAGAATGGAAGGACAAGAATGTTTGTTTATGAAAACTACAATGAGCACACATGTTGGGTATGTGTGTATTCACCATAGTTTTGTATTTGTTTTATGAAATGTTGTTTTGTATATTATTTGATATTCTAAAAAAGGAATAATTTTCTTTGGAAATTTCTATTATATTTTTGTCATCCATACACTTATTATTACTAGAATACTTCACTTACAGAGACATGTATATAAACTTTACATGAATGCTATTTTTAACAGATGGTCCTGGTGGACAGCCTGATGTTGGGGTGTTCATTAGTGAACACAAGAATAAGGCTGACAATGATCCCAATGCACCACCATTTGATGATCTACGTAATTATGCTTATGAAGGAGGTGGTTCAACGGCAGGTTCTCTCTCATCTCTGGCCTCAGGTTAGAAATTGTAAATTTGTACATATTATATATGAAGTATTCATTGACCTAAGAATTATATAATTGCTCTAAATTCAGCAAGTGAACTCTTTACAAACAATATTGAAGCAATATTTATAAATTGCATTAAAAAAAGCCTGATACTTGATGTTTCAAGGACTAAAACCCTTAAACTTTGTATGCAGTTTACTGTAATTACTACTGCATTTAATCTAAATATCAGCATTGTCATGACTCTCATCTCTATTAACAGGCACTGATGACAACGAACAAGATTTTGACTACTTGAACAACTGGGGTCCACGCTTTAGTAAGCTGGCTGACATGTATGGTCATGGAGAGTCTGAAGAAGAAGAGGACCATTAAGTGGCGAAGTTGTAGCCTCACTATTTTACTCACCTCATTGCTGGAGCATCTTCCTCAACACCATCGTGAAGCACTGTTAAAGTTCTTAACCTGGGAAAACTCAGGGCATCAGCTGGGGGGGAGGGGTCCGTCCCTCTTTTGCAAGAACGATTGGCCCATGTGGAGAGATAACTTGTTTTAATATTGCCCTTTGTCATATACATGTTGCCTTAAATAGATCATTAAATCAGCAATATCTACAGGATTAAGAAGACATGAATCACATCAGTATGTCAGTGAATGAAAGCTTTACTGGTGCTATATTTAAAATTAAATCAGATGCTCGTTTAGGTCTGACTTGCCAAAAAAATAAATAATGAATAAATAAATAAATAATACCAAACAATATTTAATGACTAGTTTCCTGTTTAGCATAACTTTGAGAGTAAGTTGAGGGATGTGGTATAGTTCATTTATAGAGGATAAATACAGTATTAGATACTCATGGAGTCCCTTGTATGTAATATATAGCTTATTCCCTGCTGTCCTTATATGTGGTAGTAGGAAGTGTATCCTCCACTTGGCCTGACTGAGGGCGGCTGCAGACCAGACGTGGCCGTCCCGGAGGCTTAAAGCAGGTCCACCCCAGAAAGAGACTGGTCCTCCTTCCTTAGGTCATGTAATGAACATGACACCCCCCCACAGTGCCAAGACTTTACAATGAGGTGATGGAAGATGCCAGTGTTCAGTGTAGAGTTAAAGCTCCCTCTACAATCATTTGTAGTGATAAAAAGTCCTATCTTGTAAAGAATGTAAGGACAGCCACCCAAGGCCGAGGCAGTGCATCATTGTCATTTGTGATTGGTGGGAGAAGAACTAACATTCCATAAAAGACAGTTGTGTGATAGTATGGGATGAAAGGTGAAGAGTCTTGGATTGAGTATTTACATGTTTTTGTTATGACCCATGTTACGTGCCAAGTACCCCAGGCAAATCTGTTTTGATTTGTGCATTATTGACTTTAAAAAAGTGCATTTTTGTGCTATACCTATTGATTTTATTTGTTTGTCCTCATTCACTACAACTGTGAAGCATATCAAGACTACAAGGGTTTAACGTATTGCACCACAGACTCTGAGGACAGCATTTATTGGTTCTCATGTGATGAGTTATATACTCTTATATGTGTGTAGGGGAGTGTGGGCCATTCATAGCCTCCCCCTGTATACTACTCTCACCCTTAGTTTATACCAGGTCAGTACTGCAACTCCGTGCATTCTGCAGGCTCCACCAAGGCCTGTACACTCACAAATGAATCTCAGGCAGTACTGAAATATCCTGTGTGAGGAACGTGTTTGAATGTATGTAAAGTTTTTGTACATGTGTAGATATTTAAGGAGGAGATAGATGTCTCAAAGAATGAAATAGTTCTTTTTCAATATTTGCTCATCTGTATGAAAGCTAGACAGCAAGATCAGGTAGACATGTGACGACAGCTTCATTACTGTAGGCATTCACTGATTAGTAAGTTTGTTACTGAACTGTAGTCTTCTCTTGGTGTCTTGCTGTGCAAGTTTTTGAAAGAAGTGACAATTGATTTTTTCTCAAGTGCTGATGTTTGTAGACTGGGTCAGTCTCGGGTGAAGAGGCCAGGGCTTTTCCTCCTGCATAACAAAATATCCTTTTTATAAAATCTGATTTTCATCATAACATTTTGTGCTGCAAAGGAAGCAATAAAAGCTTGCTTGTTTCATATTTCATTTTCAGCTGCTTTGATCTGATTTCAATAATATAGAAATAAAAGCTCCCGAGGTGATGTTTTATCACTTCTAATCAAATATTTCCTATGTCGTGCAGGCATTGTCTTGGTTAGACCTGTGCCTTTTCACCCAAGGTGACCCTCCCCCACAAAATCCCTCAAGTCAGTTACCCTCCCATTCCTGCCCCCAACACCCTCCAACCCATTCCAGCCCTGGCGCAATATGGGCTGTTTCAGCTCACCGCCCACCTTCCCACCCATAGGTCTCGCCTGTGGTGATGCCCCTGCCCCTCAGAGAAGGAACTGTTTTTGGTTCCACAAGTTTATTCCTCAATATGTGTTGACAGATTGTCTTTGGATCCACAAAATCATAGACTGAGTAAAGCATTATAATATTAGATAAAGAATATATCAAGAGTGAGAACTCTTCATCACCACACAACATAACCTCAACAGCACTGCCATATTTGGTGGGAGCAGGCTGGGTTGTTTAGTCATTGGCTTCTTATAATATGATTAATTATTATCATTATTTTATTATTATTATCATCATCATCGTAGTGTTAGAGCTATTGTGCACAAGTTGGTCATAAAGAGAACGGAGCTGGTCTCGGGCATATTTCAGTGGCTCCTCTCTAGGTTCTTGGACCAATTGTATAAATTATTATCATGTATCTTGAATAGGAGAAGTTGACACTTGAGTTTTCTTGTGCAGAGTCATCCCTCATCCCTCACATATGCACCAACTTGACCCAGCTCCAGACTCCCCACACTTATTGTTTCCTTCCTCTGATTACGACTAGGTCAAGACGACCCATTTTGCAAATTGGACTCTGCACAAGACAACAGGCTTCCCCCTGAAGTTAACCGAGCCCAGCCAACTTGTTTTTATAGCATTCCATATACCAGAAGATGTATGTATGAATGCATTATTCATTTTCACATTTTGTATCAAACAAAGAATTAACATCTTGCTAGAATTCTAGGAATGTATAAACTGGGTTTCTCTGATCTGCTGCAAATGATTGATTGTGGCATGACTCCAAGTTTTCCCAGAGATCTTTGTCAGTGAGGTTTCATTTATAGAACATCATTGACAACATATCAAATGCACATGATCAATGATTCCCCCATCATTCACTCCATTGGCTGAATCATTTGTTCCTGTCTTTGTCTTTTTATATTGCTCTTCATGCCCTGTACCAAGAGTTATGGTTTATCCCAGGGCCAGAGTATCATGTGAAATATTAGTAAATGTCATTTTTCAACTATATACTCATCAAATGTCACAAACCTGAGATTTTCTCATTATGTTTTATCTTAGTCTGTTGACTTTTTAAACTTTGGCCCAGGGAACCATGAAAGGTCAATGAGTAGAATAATATTTCCTAAAAAAAGAGAAAGTTTTGTACCCTTCTTCATGCTGAGTTAAAGTTATCCAGCAGAGATGTCCCAGAAAGGGCAAGAAGCCATAGCAACTAAGCTTTTGTTTGATGTTTTTAAGCTGTGATTTTACTGTGTCTGCATTGTCATCTGAAATAGATTAAAGCCTTTGTGTAAATATCTGTATATCTCTATATCCTAATCCTTCATAAGGCATACACCAAAGAACAGTATGTTAAATTACCCTGATATTTACAACTTTGAAGATAACACTACCATTATGGAAAGGCAAAAAAAATAGAATTTATGCATTGATGTATACATCATGAAGTTATAAGTGAAAAAAATATGACAAGTAATATGACTAGTTACAATACTAGAAGCTAATGATGTACTAATAATGGACCTATCACGCATGAGCGAACAATGAATAAATCAACATAGTTATAGAAAGTATATTCAAGAAGTATATTCAGTTTTTTAAGTATATGTGCTGTTGGATCTAGTTCAATTTCTTATCTACATTTATCTAAATTGTTCCAAAAGTTTAATCTTTATTTGAGCATATAGTTTTGTCAAAGGTTTTGTCGGTTCTCTCGTGTATGTGCTATCAGAAGTCTCAAACTTTATCTAATGAACTCCTGACTTGTAAAGCCTCATAATCAGTAAGAGTCAAGACATACTCTTACTATAGTTACTTATAAAATGCATATGTGGACATAATGTATAGAAACAATGTACCCTCCCCCTACACAATAACAAAAAAATTATCCATTTAAATCCTGTAAAAATAATACTGGGAGTATACAATGTACAACAGATCAAATTTCAAATATGTAATTCTGTCTCAAACAGTTAGTGTGAGTATCTACTCTGTATATCCGAATTACTGCAATATATATCACTTAACACTTTAACATACTGACTCATAAGACAGTCATGTAGGCAGATCGAACCATACCTTATTACACAAGGCAGGCATTCCTGGCAATTCATAAGGATATACTTTTTTTTCAATTTCATTTACCCTAATTTATGTTTTCTTTGAATGAATGGGCATACAGTCTCCTAGTATTATTTAGCAAGTGTACGTACATGCTAATCACATGCAATATGATGAAAATATTGGGAAGGAAAGATGGTAACTTGTACATTGCTTATTCGTTTTAGCATAGATGTAAATGTAATAAAAAAATCACACAGACATACAGTATCAAACAGTAATAAGCATGTGACAACCAATACCCCGTTTGTTTAACATGAGCATGTTCACTAAAGATAGGTGATCAAAAGAACAAAAAAAAAGAATGCTCAATTTGTTTACCAATAATATTGATTGTATTTTAGTGCACTAAGATTGTCTTTTGAATCAGCTGTCTAAAAAAATATATCATAAGTCTGAAAATAAAAGATAAATGTTAAATTATACTAGCTTTTCTCTTACCTATATGCATACTCAGTGAGACGCAGTTTTAATATATCCCAAGAATGGACATTTGCTTATTGCACAGCACTGACAAAGGTTATTCCAAAACATGTGCTTTCGGCTAGATCACTACTAGTATTAATATTGCACCTCCACTTGATCCCAGAAGCAAATTTATCTGCATCATGTTTAGTATTTGTAAGTCTTAAGCTATTCACAAGAATCCCATTGATCACTTGGTATCCCGTGAAAGGAAATTATTTGAATAATATTGCAATGCAACTCGATACTTACTACTTAAAACGCATGAGGGATAGAGACAGATAATGAAAGGGATACGTCTTGGGAAGACGGACACAACTCTCTGCTCCCGTCAGCTGGTTTTGAAGAATTATTTTACTTGCACTTTTCATTTAAGGAGGATTAGGGTTCGTACACAAAGGAAGAGGTTGCCGACGTACTGGCTATTGGCGCCAACCACTCAGTTTACCTGAGCAGGAAAGTTCACGAATCACCTCCCTCTATCTATATAAATATATACATATATCTGTCTATCGATCTGTCACTGTTACAATGCCAGTATCTCTCTCTCTCTTCGCTTTCTCCCCCCTCTCTCCCTGCTCGCCTTCTCCCCTTTTTCCCTCTCTCTCTTTCTCACCCCCCCCCCCCTCTCCCTGTCAGGGTTTGTTTCCCCTGACTTTGGTGGGTGTATGGAGACACAATTCTGGTTTCTTCCTTTATTGGTTAAGGCGGCTGGTAGCATGGCGTGGCAGTCTCGTGCTTGTGCAAGTCCCGGGGAAAGGGGAGCCCAAGGAGGTGCGCCGAGCGGGAGCGCACGTGGGAAGACCCCGAAGGAGCCGTCTGGGAGAGGCCGTGATCCGGGGTCAAGTGTGACGAAGCATTGAAGAATAGGTCAGAGATCACGAGCGCTGGGGACGTGGCTAGCTAACCCGAAGCCGATCCCTCAGATCACTCGGCATAGCTATTAACCGTCGTCTTCGAGGGGATGATTCTGGCGTTCTCTGAAAGAAGTACACCGAGGGCAGGAAAAGGCAGAGAGACAGTGGGGGAAACAGGGGGGGGGGAGGTGACAGCAAGGGCCGTAAGATATAATAAAAATATATCACATTGCAATGATAGCGGTATTTCAATTATTTGCATGAATTTTTAATTTTTATTTATTTTTTCAATAATACACTGTCAAAGGATAGACAGAGGAACATGCTTAGGGAGACAATTGCAATAGTCCGCGAGGACTTGCTTGAGTTGCAATTGTCTCAGAAAATCTACAAGAGATAAGCATTGTGCAGAACTACAAGGAAGCAAAAGGTGTCGCAGACCGCAAGGACCGTCTTGAACGACCAACTTCCTTGGGAAAAATGAAAATGCAATAATGCAGAGTTCATCAGTGTGCAGTGCAATAGTGCATATAGTATACGTCTGACTAATAGTAAGTAAATGTTCTATCTCATTTCATTGAAATTGTCTATTACATGTCAGCAACAGCTATTCGAGGCAAAGCGATAATGAAAATAGTTAATGCAGTCCTCATCGTTTCGGGAGCGACTCATTACATCAAATATGCGCTCAAGACAACATATGCACAATAAAACGTAATTCAAGGCAAGAATACACGATTGGCGCAAGTCGATCATCTTCTCAGAAACAGTACGCATGTAATTCTTGTGGAATTAACGTGGTTTGTGCAAGGAGAGACGATGTGCGTATGTGGCCGCATGAGTGCTGAGTAGACGCGTTAAGTGAATGGGTGACAGTTATGAAATGAGTAAGTCAGAGTATAGCACACGAGTAGAAAATAGAACGCTGAAAGATATTTTGTTAGAGTCATTAGTAGTTTGTTAAAGTAAGAGCGAGATTAAAAAGAAATAGAATGGCGTGGGAGTTGGAATGAATAAGCAAGCGGTAGGAGGAGTGGGTGGGCGGGTGGCCAAGGGAAGGTATGGTGAAGGTGGGGGGAAGGATGGTAGGCGGGGGTGAGAACGTGGGTGCGTGCAATGAAAATAATCACTGACCTGACTGCACGAAAAGAACATTCACATTAATAACAATAAACTTGCCATAACTTTAACATTAATCAACTACTATGCGGAATCATAAAAACTGTACTTTGTTTAACACGTAAAATGAATGAAATGGTAACAGGTCTGTTGCAAAACAGATTAAGGCTTGCAGAGCAACGCATGGTGCAAGCGCGTTGGGTCAGCTTCCCTTGGACAACTGACAGCCGAAAGACAGCCCTTGTGGTTGTAAATGATATATACTTAAAATAAATTCCTTGAGAAAAAGGAATGAAGTACCCTATCGTAGAAAAGGGTATCATCGAATTGGGCATCCCATCTAGTTGGGAAATACCAGCGATAATCACGTATAGTCGTACAAGAAACGGCGCGATGCGGTGCTTTATCGCCTCTGGGCAATAAGTGTGATTCGGCACATACAGGAGAACGGTTTACTTAACACTAATTACATGTCCATAAGCCAGGTGAGGGTTGTCACCAAGGACCATGTAATAATGGTGAAATGAGGTTCGTGATTAAGTTTGATTAATAAGGAAAATGTTTGAAAATCAAATCAGCATAATAACGATTATCGTAAGAAAGTAAAGAAATAGAAAATCGTTAGGATGACCGATGTAATTTTGCAAGTGATGATTCATGAAAGCGAAAGTCATGGGCAATACGAAGTTGTAGTAGCTGATATAATACAATTAACCTCTAACATCGAGAGATAGCTGAATTAAAATATAAATACAAATAGCTTGAATGTATTTTTCAGTCAGGCGGAGTCAGATGGCTAGAAGTAGGTACCTTCTACCTGAGTAAGGTCAAGTGAGGTCATTATCCGAATATTTGTAATAATAGCAAGAGCTAGTAGATATAAAATCAAATATTATGAAAAACAAGTACACAATAATTTAAAAATTAGATAATCAAATTACCAATAAATGAAATAAAGAATTTACTATACATGAATAAAGAAGAAATATATATATAGAAATATATATAGAAATATATTCGTATAAATAAATCTATATTTATACGATTAATTATGGCGAAATATACTTCAGAATGTTCACAAATATACTATGATAATAACGTAGTCACACAGTTTAATTGGATGAAATATGTTATTTATGAAATTTATGGTAAAAAATTCGATAACGAAAAAGAACAATGACTATCGCAATGTTAATTCACATTATCAAAATTATTATGCCTTATAACATAAACTGAAATGCGAGAAAAAATCGAGGCTAATACAGGTCATAAAAAAGTGAGGTATTGTCATCGACCGATATGACCACTTGACCTGAACAACTATGTGTGAAGTTGACCACACAAAAAACGATTATATATACTATATATATATAATATATATATATATATATATATATAATATATATATATATATATAATGATAAAAAATTCAAACGTTCAAAATGCAAGCTAAGTTAACGAATCGGATAATTTGATTATAGAAGGTCAGGAAACCAGGTCACTCACGGTCAAAATATGGTAAGGGTAGATCAGATTAGCATGGGGAAAGAGAAAATGTTTCTTTTGTAAATTCAACTAAGTTATAAAAAATTTAAAAAAATCCCAGAAATGCATAGTTAAACCGAGCCAAAATAAATGCATTGAATGGCGATAGATGAAGTTAACAATATAGCGTTGGCTAACGCAATGTGGAAATAATGATAATAAAAGATGTCAAAAATATGGCAATGCTTTGAACTCTGGCCACGTGGCCTAGAATGTCCGTTGAAACAGATAATAATTTAGAGAAAATGCACGCTATTGTTCACCCACATAAATAAAAGATTCAAGAATCATACATGGTTTATGCTAACGAGGCTAGCATGATATATTGAGTTATATTGAGAAAAAAAAATAAACTCTCGCAACTGAAAAAATTAGGGATTGATATCCCTAAAAAACAACAATCTACCATGACGAATAAAATACAACACGGTGGATACTAGAAAAAAAAGGAGAGTAAATGCACTTTGCTCGGACACATTGGATGTTTGAAAAAATCACTGCACTTGCAAAAAATGTGCGCATATGGTAGAAGAAAAGGAATGAAAAGAAATGTCCATTGTGTACTTACAATTTTTCGGAGAGAGGTGATGATCAAGCGGTTGCATCTTGGAGGAGGCTTGGAGTTTGTGTCGCTGAAGTGACATCCCACCGCTGCCACCAGTTTGTCAGGGTTTGTTTCCCCTGACTTTAGTGGGTGTATGGAGACACAATTCCGGTTTCTTCCTTTATTGGTTAAGGCGGCTGGTAGCATGGCGTGGCAGTCTCGTGCTTGTGCAAGTCCCGGGGAAAGGGGAGCCCAAGGAGGTACCCCGAAGGAGCCGTCTGGGAGAGGCCGTGATCCGGGGTCAAGTGTGACGAAGCATTGAAGAATAGGTCAGAGATCACGAGCGCTGGGGACGTGGCTAGCTAACCCGAAGCCGTGATTTGTCCCTCAGACTCCTCTCTCTCTCTTTCTCCTCTCCCTCTCCTCTCTTCTCTCTTATCTCTCCTCTTTCTCCTCTCCCTCTCCTCTCTTCTCTCTTTCTCCTCTCCTCTCCTCTCTTCTCTCCTTAATCTTCTCCTTTCTCCTGTCCCTCTCCTCTCTTCTCTCTCTTTATCTCTCTCTCTTTCTCCTCTCCTCCCTCTTCTCTCCTCTCTTTCCTCTCCCTTTTCTCTCTTCTCTCCTCTCCTCTCTCTATCACTCTCTTTCTCCCTCCCTCTC